AGCAAACTATTGAATATATAACGTCAAATTTAATTACAACATCTTACAATCTTGGCAATTGCTGAAACTAAAATATTTTAGATGCCAAAACTATTTCGCCATTTAAATTTAATTAAGTTAACATCACTAGGATAAATAATAGTACGTTAATATGAATCTTGACAAATTATTACGCAAAAAATAGAGAAAAAACGAAACACTCTTACCCTTATTTTGAGACATCTCCAAACTTAGTATTCAACACACCTTCGGCTGGTCGGGCCAACGGCCATCCTGCCCGACCAGTGTCCATCGCTTTCTTTGATTGAGAGTCGGCATATTGTCAATCTATTTAAATAATTCAACATTAATTAGCTGAAAGAATTATTTATAATTTCACACTACCATATAGCACTTACTACAGTACCCCGGTCTAACTTGAGTAGTACTCAGGGATACTATAGAAAGGGGGTACTATAAATCGCGATTTACGGTAAGATAACGATAAAGATTTTTGGTATTGCGATATTTTTTGTCTAAAACAAAAGTATCATTATATACCCCCGTGTTGTACAAGTCAACCTGTCTATAACATTTTTTTATGTTAAAAAAAGGGCCAAGATGGTTCATATAAATTCACCTCTCTATAACGACATTATTAATGATTCCCTATAGTGACAACGAAATTTATGGTGTCGTTATAGAGAGGTTGAGGTGTAAAGGGGGAAGGGGGGGGGTACTTTATCAAGGGGATTGTAGTAAGCGCTATACGGTAAACAATACTTTGAGAATAGCTGCACTTACCGGAATAGAAACCGTCTTCATCACTGTCGTAAGTCAATTGTTCAAAGTCAACCTTATAACGAAGTAACCCTCCAATTCCACCAAATCCCTTAACAAACTGTGATCCCTCTTGAGAACGATTGGTGATAAATTCTAGCGTTGCGCCGAAATCTTTATAATGCTCAGCAAACCATTCCAGCAAAGGCATTCTGTCAACAACTTCCATCTCCGTGCCAGTTTCCTTATCCAAGAACATAGAACGGTCCTTTTCTTGTTCTTTTGTCATGTGAACAACCTGATTGACTATTAATAAATATATCTAGTTCAGATAATATAATATAATTGATCTAATGAATTAAGGATCAGAAAAAATCAATTACCTCCACTACTGTTCTTTAGTACATAACGAGAAACATCTAAATTTTCCCAGACAATAAGTGTTTCTACAGCTCCCAGTTCTAATCCTTTCAAGGTATCTTCGACTCCAAAGCAGAATTTGCCAGTATCTTGAGAGATTTCATCGAAATACTTGGAAATAAGTTTCTTTTCCTGAATGAATTTGACATTGGCTAAACTTTCGGAAGCTAATTCAATAGCCTAATATGAAATTTTGGTTATTTATGTATACAAACTGAAAACAGGAAATAAAAGAGAAATAAATTTTACCTGATTGAAGCCATTTTCACCGCCATAAGACACGTCTACCAACTTAATAATCTTACCTTGTAGACGTCCATCAAACATGTCAGATTGCGAAAGTTCAGTTTTGAAGTCAGCAGAACCAGCAAGAATAAGTCCAGTAACGTTAACCTATTATTTTATTTATGAATTGTTATTATTTGAAGGCAAAAATATTTATTTATTTATTTTTTTTTGATATTTAAAGCTTACTTTATCATTCGTGATGAAGAATTGCACCGCCAATTCAGCTACTTTGCGTACATAATTGTGTCGTTTTTCTTCTCGAAGACGAGCAAAACGAAGCGCAGATTGACCACCCCTTCCTGTTCGAAGTCAATAGAACGAACCAATTAAACAAAGTTTAAACTGAAACTGATAGAGAAATATAATAACTAATATTTAGATAGAGATATTTACCATGCTTCTTTGGCAAATCCACGGCGAATTTATGAACCACTTCTCTAGTATTGCCGCTCAATGTGCCAAATAATGCACCGTTACCATCCATAACGATGAATCCAAATTTATTATCGGATTCGAGCAGTTCAGACAACGCCTCTGTATGGAATTTGTTGTCACAGAGGTAAAGAGACGTGTTGACCGGTTTAAAAGGTTCGAAATCGATGTTAACCTTTTTCTCTTTACCCTCCTCAGTGACTATTGTTCCACAATACACGACTAGCCCATTAGGAGGAACTGTTGTTTTGCATTTATTATTATCATTCTAGCGTGTTTGATTTATTTAAAATTTAGAGATAAAATGAAAGAGAATATTTGCCTTTATTGTATAATTTCAGCCGTTGCTGTGTTGAAGTAATTGCTGCTAATACTGACAATCGATTAACACGAGATTTAATATTAGAAGCAGTACCATATTCATCTTGCAACATTTTGGAAACGCGAGGAATCTGATCTTTAGGAGCTACATAAAAACAATTGATGTGACAATGGAAAGTTAGTTCGAGGCACTTTTTCAAATAAAAATCCAAAATGAGAAGAATACATACGAATGATCAGAGAAATCATGGAAGTTCCATTTCTGGTGGAGGAAAAAAGTAAGTGTTAAGATAGGTGTACGTAATAAAATTAAAAGAACCAAATCCCGGACTACTCACCCTCGTGCAGCTTCCAAACTTTTGATCAGTTTTTTAACTTTCCATATTTCTACATTTCTATCGGTTGTATCATTTGACGTTGAACCACCAGCTTGACTCATTTTGTTTGCTTCAAGGTGAGAACTGTAAATAATTAAAGAATTAATTAAAGCTTTACTGACTTTACTGAAAACTTAATTCACATGAATGAGAACATGATTTAAACCTTTGTCTTAAGCAAATGTATTATCCCTGGAAAGAAAAGTCTGTAACTGACGGAAAAATAAACCAGTTACAAGAAAGAAATGAAAAGGAGGTCAAGTTTGTGCAGTTGCGTTTTTTGAATTTTTTTTTTCATTTTCCACATTATTAGAATTTGATCTACGCAATTCAGATCTTCCAAATAATTGTACGCAGCAAAAGTTTACTGCGTTTTCCTTTTTCATAGTCATCATGGTCTTAGCAGATTTAGGACGAAAAATAAACGCTGCATTAGCGCAAATCAATAAAGAACCTATAATCGATGAGAAAGTTTGTGTTCAGTGCTCCGGTGTTACTTCTCTTCTTTTTTTCAGTTATGCTAATTAGTCGGCTGCTGAATAGGTACTCGATGCGCTTCTCAAGGAAATATGTCACGCACTGTTAGAAGCTGATGTTAACGTAAGACTTGTGGGTAATCTAAGAAAAAATGTGAGAACTACAGTAAATATACAAGATCTAGCAGCCGGAATCAATAAACGGAAAATAATACAAAAGGTATTTTAAGTGAAAAGGTGAAGAATTAATTATTAGTCATTTGAAAGCAGTAAAATCTTGTTAAGAAATACTCTTTGGATATAAAAAGACGGTCGTCGATGAATTATGTAAACTTGTTGATCCAGGTGTTGAGCCGTATATTCCCAAACGCGGCAAACAGAATATAATTATGTTTGTTGGTTTGCAGGGTAGTGGTAAAACGACGACATGTACAAAGGTAAATTTTATAGTTCTTAGATGATGTTTTTGTGGATTCACTTACAAATCTAATGAGAATAAGAAACATCTTTAGCTGGCATATTATTATCAACGTAAAGGATGGAAAACATGTCTTGTGTGTGCTGATACTTTTCGTGCTGGTGCTTTCGATCAATTGAAGCAGAATGCTATTAAAGCTAATATACCATATTATGGAAGGTAAGTCACATTAAGTCAAAAATGAGTTGGTAAATTGATCATGAATGAGACATTTCATAAATATCATTTTTTATTTGATTTCCATTAACCGGAGTCGTATATTATATGTTAAATTAGCTATACCGAAACAGATCCCGTCCAGATAGCGCATGAAGGCGTGGAAAAATTCAAAAAGGAAGGATTCGAAATAATAATAGTAGATACTTCCGGAAGGCATAAACAAGAAGCAGAGTTATTCGAAGAAATGAAACAAATATCTACCATTGTAGTATGTATTATTTAATCTTGTATCAATTAACATGAAATATATACATAGGATTTATAAAGATCTTTTTTTCTTAGAATCCTCATAATACAATATTTGTGATGGATGGAACGATTGGTCAGGCCGCTGAGGCACAAGCAAAGGCATTTCATGAAACGGCGGATATTGGTTCAATTATTATAACTAAAATGGATGGTCATGCTAAAGGTGGTGGTGCTATTTCTGCGTATGTATTATATATACATTATTAATCTCCATACCGGATTATTATTGTTAACTTTTCATTTTTGTTGTTGTTGTTGTTGTAGCGTGGCAGCTACACATAGCCCAATAATTTTCATTGGTACTGGTGAACATATACATGACTTAGAGGGATTTGATGCCAGACGATTTGTATCTAAAATGCTCGGGATGGGTGATATTTCTGGCTTAATGGAAACTGTACAGGATTTGAAATTGGATCAGAATAAGAATCTAATGAAAAATCTTGAACAAGGTTTGCTTGCTTTTACTATACTATCAAACTTTCTATCCGAATTCAACAGATTATATAGCCTTGTTGATATACAATAAAAGGAATTTTTACGATAAGGGATATGTATGAACAATTCCAAAACATATCAAAGATGGGTCCACTCTCAAAGATGATGCAAATGGTACCTGGGATGTCAGAACTTAATCTACAAGGATCCGATGAACTGGGAGCTCAACGAATAAAAAGGTTAATTTTTTACTTTTATTGTCTTAGTCAAAAAAAAAAATTGTGCTCGTTCTCTTGAATTATATTCGAATCGACCTTATTTTTTCTCATATTAGATTAATGACCATCATGGATAGTATGAACGAAACGGAACTTGATTCCGATGGGAAAATCTTTCAACAGCAGCCAGCTCGGATAGTACGTGTCGCTAGAGGTTCAGGGACTTCGGTGCAGGAAGTTGAAGAATTGTTGATCCAACATAAATCTTTCCAGGGAATGGTTAAGAGGTTTGGTGGAAATAAGGGTATACTTAAAGGCATGGGTCCGGGTGCGGATCCTTCGAAGATGTCGCCACAAAAGATGCAAGCTAAGATGGCGCAGATGCA